AAATAGCTTGTTAATAATGTATTTTTAGTATACTAAATAAAGTACGCCATTTCGCGTTTTAAAAAAAAAAAAAAAAATAAAAAAATAAATATAGCCTTTAAAATATTGGCATGTTCATGTATACATTTTCACGAATAAATTTTTTTGTTTGATTATATAGTAATTATATATGTGCATAGTACCTATAAATAAGTATATATTGTAAGATTCTCGTAATTTGTATCTTTATAATATGAATATTTCATATAACATAATAGTAAAGCAAAGTAAGATAAAAAAATATATACATCAATTTAGAGTGAGGGGTAAAATAAGTTTTTTTTTTTTACAAGATTGAGGAGAGGTTTTAACTATCACTATAATTCACAAATTGATATACTGTATTTGAATTCATAAGAGAACTATTATATTACCTAATTCTCTTTTTTTTTGTATTTGTATTTAATGTGAACTGTAATTTAATTCTGCAGCAACAATTTCATCAACATTATACTCACCTTCTTGTATATCATTATCAGATTCGATTTCAATAAAATTCTCACTTTCATAACTATTAGAGGACATAAAAACTGAAAATTTAAAATCAATAGAAGTTGAAATGCTTAAGTCTAAATCTTGTTCATTTGGATAAAGGTTTTTAGCAGGATTAAGCATTTCAATATCATTATCTTCTATTAATGTTTCTTCTTCAAACTCTTTAAAAACAGTTTCAGCAATATTTGTCATTATTTCAGGAGTTATTTCTGCAGTTTGAGTATGATGAAGTTGTTTTATAGGGTTTGATAAATTAAACCAATAAATTTTTGCTAATCCTTCTAACCGATCTATATTTAATCTAGTTCGATGCTTTCTATAAATCCATCCTAATGCTGAAAACATCTGCCGAGCGTTGTAAATTGTTAGGCTTAGCTTCACATGTATTCCATCACATTAATGGTGTATTCTTACTAATTGTATAGGGGGCAGTATAAGGATTTAGATTTCCATTTATATTTTCTTTAAATTCGTAATTGTGTTATTAAAGCTTCAAAACTTTCTTTTGATTTACCCATTTGTTGCCATAATTTTCCAGCATAATTTGCAATAAAAGGAAATGTACCAAACTTTAATCCAAGACCTTTATATGCTGGATGAAGAAAATATGTAAGTTGATAAATAGGATCATTAAATTCTTCAAACCGTTTATTAAATTTTTTAACACATTTATTGCGAAATCCTTTATATTCGTCAATAGGAAGATTTTGAATTGTCACAGCAATTTTTACTAAATTAATATAACAGTCAGCAAAGGTAGAACGATTTGCCTCAACTGCCAAAATTGCCTCTTTGATTGGAAATAAAACATCTGAAAGATATTGCAAATCAGTAAAAAAGCCTTGACCACAAAGTATTGTTAAAATGACAGAACTAATAATTTCAAAGTGATTTTCTTGCTGCTTCTATTTTCTCTATTGATGCAAAAATAATTGTTGCTGATTTTCTTTAATTTCTGTAATTTCCTCTAAGCAAATCTTAAGTTGCACAATTAAGGAGACACATTCATATACAGTTGTCCATCTTGTTTCTATATATGTTTTAAGACCACCACCACTAATTTGATGTTGTATAACTTTTTCTTTTAATATAGCTCCAACTTTATGAGATTTTTTAAAAAATGTTACTATTTTATTAGCACGTTGAATCATTCTTTCTGCAAATGTATGTTTAATAATATCTTTACTAATTAGGTTAAAACAATGAGCAATATAACGAATATTTATAATATTTTTATATTTTGAGCAAATTATATTGTGTGCAGATGCTACATTAGCTCCATTATCACTGATTATTGCTGAAATTTTATCTTTACCAATATGATTTATAATTAATTCAATTTGGCTTGCCAGAAATTCTGCTGTATGAGATTGATCAAGATAATTTCCAAGTTCATAGAGATATTCTTGCCGTAATGGTGTCATAATAATGAAATTCCAAATTGATAACCCATTAGGAGCAGTCCAACCATCAAGACCGAAGTAAGGTTGTTTGTATGTTCTAAAATTCCATCAACTTTGTGAATAACTTTTGCAAGTTCTGAATCTAATAAGCATCCTGAGAG